TATATATATATACGACTTCAATTTAGCTTTCTTTTTATTTTTTCTATCAACATTAATATACCATCTGTTATTTTTTATGTATTACCATTTTCACTTGAATTTCAATAAAACTTCAATATTGATTTAACGTTGAATATTGAATAAATAAAAAAATGTTATTTGCTGGGTAAGAGACCATGGCTCTGAACAATTTTTACATGCCGAGATGTGTTTTCTAAAGTAAAAAAAAAATTATTGTAATTTTATCAATAATAATAATATGAGATATTGAAGAACAAATAGAAAGCTGAAAGAATCATTTTTTTATTATTAATATTAACGTAAGGTGACGAAGAAATATATTACGTTTTCGTTCATTGCTATTTTTCCTACTCAATCGTTTATCCTGCGTTATTAAAAGCGACTTTGTTAACGTAGTAATCAAATCTGAATTTAGATCTGTGTGTAACTCGACTGCCACATACGTTGTTTTTATTGGTAATCCTTTTTGTCTCTACCGTGCTAATAAAAACGGATCTATCCAGCAGGCGTTCAGTATGTCCCGCAAGCTGACACTTTTGTGGTATTATTGTGCTTTGTGGAAGACCACGCATAATGGTCAACGAGATTACCCATCATATAATGGCTGCTCGATCTTCATAAAGAGTATAGTATGTTATTTGTTGATGTTAAATAATAACAATCCATAAATAACAACAATGAGTAAATAGGTGTTCATATACAATATAACATTTTTTCAAATCAGTACTAAACAAGATATTATTGTGTACGCACAATTCTTTAAACATAAATATAACTTGCTTAAGATTTTACGATATTATTTTTGAGCATTTCTAAAAAATTATTTTATGTGTCTGTTACAATTATAACTTTACTGAATAACAAATTTTTATTAATATTTTGTTGTTTTAAATAGGTATAATATTTGTAAAGCTTCTTACAATAAAAAAGGATATGTTTTAAAAAATTCCATCATCCTTCAATTTTTAAAAACTTTGCTTTGAATTTATTATGCAATAACGCAAATTCGTATATGGTGAAATTTTTTCTCACCAGACTCACATTTTTATGCATATATATATATATATATATTGAAACACTTTTCAAAAATACTAAGAAAGTACATCTTTTTTTAGAATTTTCTATATATATAAATTCTGAAATATCGTAAGAGTTCTTATTCTACATTTCTGAAGAAATACATTAAAATTTTTCGGATTTTATAAAATTTTATCAGATATTATAGAATAAGAAATTTTAGAAATCTTAAAATACTTAATAATTCATATATATAAAGAATTTTAGAAAAGTGTAGACTTTTTCTGTTCTTCTGAAAAATGTTTCAATTTGTATAAAAGAATCTGAATAATTTTCTAAAAAGTTGTTAAATTAATGATAAATTCTAAAAAATTCTGAGAAAAATTTATATGTACAATAGCTATAACAAATTTAAATATTTTTTACAATATACAAAAATAAATGTAATAATAATATGAAGCTCTTTTTATTATTTATGTATAATTTTAAGTGATATATTAAAAGAATACAATTTATTAAGAACGTTTAATGTAAAAAAATTACACTGATTTGTAAAGTTTATTTATCAATAACTGAATAGTGATTCTTATACATTTTATTTCGTAAAGTAAAAGAAAAGCATTATAATTGTTTATATTTATAAATTTTTTTTAAAAATTGTTGTGAAACAAAAAAACTTTTAAATCAGTGTTATCTTTTTCTTATTTCTTCTCTAATGATAACACGATTATTATTTTTACACTTTACAGTCTGCAGCCAGTTCAGTAGAGGTGTATCTTCGATGTTGGGCGCTGTGAGTCCAGACTCGTTCGATACGCTACATTCATACAGCAACACCTTCCAAATGCCATTCGTGACACCCTGGTTCCCCGAAAAGGTAAATAAGCCATATTCATTTCTTTCAGATTTATGGCATTAAAAGCAACTCAACTTTATCATTTTACTCATCTTATTTTTTATTTTTAATCTTTATATATTTCTTTAGAATTATATCAGAATGATAACAATTATGTCTAAAAATAATATAAAATATACTTAAATTTGTGTGTCATTGTTTTTGGTTTTTCAACAAAACAATGAAATCATCAATTTCAAGAATTCATGAGACATCATTTGTTTCGTTCGAAACAGAATATTGCAATTGGTCATAGCCAATACTTTTTCTCAGAACAGGGCAATGAAATGAAACCTTATTTAAATCTAATTTATATTCATGGAACCTGTTTTTCCGTGTGTCTTTTCTTTTATAATCTTATATTTTATACTCCGCATATCTTTCCTTCGATTCCCTGAAGCAGAACGTACAAATCTGAAAGAAATATTTCACAAACTTAAAAAACAAAGTTATATATAAAATTTAGATTTTATTTCGTATATCTGATGTTTTATTGAAATACATAAACGTATTTCGTAGTCATACTACGTAATAGTTCCCATTAAATTTCAGGCCTTATTAAATTTAAATTACATCGAACAGTATACATATATATAAAGGCTGAAAGATTGCCGTTCAAGTTGAAGTGTCTATGGCAAAAACAACTCATATTCGATGCATAAATTTTCCATCGTACTTATCAATTCAACGTGAAAAAAAGGGAAATATACGTTACGATGTGCATGCACGCATTTGACAATAATTGTCATGTACAGAATCAATAGTTTCGTTTCGCGCTGCAACTGATAATTAGCGACGCTACGAGATGCATGATGATGGATTTGGTCGATACAATCATCCATACAAATACGTAAATGTGTATGCGATACATACGGTATACATATTACAATTTGAATTTCGAAATGAATTGGCTCACCGAAAATTTATTCGCCAGCTCGAATTGTGGAGCTGCATTTATCGCACCGTTGTAAACTGATATCGTACTATGCTGTAGAATGAACGTCGGGTTCGTGAGTATTTCGGCGGTTGTGTGCGTATTTTTCCCACGATATATTTCCGTGCAGTATAAGTATATATATGTACGCGTAACGAACGTCGATGTCGTTTAAATGGTAATCGCGCGGTAATGCTGATTCGACGCCTCGGCTTTCTACTCCTTTTTTTTGGGCCAATTACGGTTCGCCAGGAACGGCCATTTATATAGAGAAAATCCTTTTTCAATTTCCATGAGATCTTGCCTGCACTGCGTTTGCATCGCTGCCTCACTCTCAAGAAAAAGAGACGTTATTGGCATTGGAAATTCAATACGTGGATATAATCATTCTAGCTAGACGATAATTATTTTCTTAAATCTCATACACGGTTCTTTACTTCCTTTCAACATCATCTGAAGGTTCAATAAAGAAAGCATTATTTTATTTTAAAAAGATATTTTTAAATTACTCTCTTGTTCAATCTGCCTTGGAAAATCTCGTAGTTCATTTCTAAAGCGCGTAAATGTTTTACGAGAAAAAGCCGAGTCGAGACTCGACAACTGAAATTAGTATCAAAAGGCATATATTTCGGTAATAAATCACGCGCAAGCACCAGTTGCACATTCGCAGGAATTAAGTTTCAAAGAGAATTCACGAGTGGTAGGAGCTCGATTGCACCGACTCGGATTAAAGTTTCGACGGAGCATCCTTTCCCTCCTAAGTAGAATTAATTTCGGCAGCGCGTTAAATGGATGACGTACGACTGCCTGTTCAAAATTTCACGACGAGCACGATCGTAGGACGCCGAAAATGCACGGGATTATTGTGTATCTAGGTCCTGACACCATCCTCGGGTCTCTTGGACTTCGCCATAAGTATGCGACCGGATTACCATCGTGCTATCATCGATACGGTGCGATACTATGGTTGGAAGAAAATCATCTACCTCTATGACTCCCACGATGGTAAGTCCTTTTACCCTGCCGCTTTCTCATGCATTTCTCATTTTACAGCGCGTAGCCGCGGGCTGCAGCTCGCGCCTTTTCGCCTCCGCCCTTACGATATTTCTCTTTTTATTATATCTGCCAAGTAGGCTCGGTCTCTCGTGGCCAACTTTACCGATATCGTAGACATGGGATATCGAGTGGATTCCCCGACTTCTGCGCAGAATAAAAACACACGTGTGTGGGTAATCTCCTGACACCGCGATCATATTTTTATATGTTTATGTAAAAATATAATATAAATGACATTCGTAAGGCAAATGCTGTTAAAAATATATTACATTCGTAAACAATCTGTGCAATTTACAGGCTCTGTATCTATGGAAGGGAAAAATTTTCGTAATGTCCAGTTTAGACACGATCTAAAATTCACTTTTATATTTGAAAATAGAATTCTGAATTCTGTTTGATATGTATATTTTCATATACGTGTGTGTATTTTAGTATATATTTTGTATGTGCATGTTATTTTGATTCTTCGTAAATATTTGTTGTGCTACACGGTACATAAAATCATAAATAAAATTCTATCTCAAATTCTGAAATAATAGTTTGCCTAAAATAGACTCTAAAACGATACGTGAATTAAAATCCCTGCATCAAAATCATGCGAGCGGAATAATGTATGATTATGAAATATGGTCACGCTTAACGCCTCCTCGCGGCATGTTGCTGCTTGAAAGTGAATTGCATCACGAAAATATAACTTCTAATTAACTACTTGTATTACTCGAATTTTCTCTACGTTTTGTTTTCTCGTCATTAAAATCATATGATTTACAACCGGATGAAATCACACGTGTATCTGCAATCGTGTGCGTATTTCATGCTTCAATATGTTTGATATTCGGGGTTTTAAACATGAAATTGAAGAGAAAACAAAACATGAATTTCTGCATATCACTGTTTCATGTATACCAATTTTATCTGGTCTTTATATAATATCAGTAATCGAATGCAAAGTGTTGATTTACATTCAATACACATATACATTGGAAGGAAAAATAATTAAGCGTATAATGTTTCGAAAGACAAATTACACATAATTTTACACGTAATAGAAAGGTTTCTGATTTTTATTTTTCTCTAATTTACATACATGCAAAATATTCCATCAAAATACAATTATTATTAGTTCATTATTATCATATTATCTTATATAAATTATTATTTCAACAATTTGCTATTTAAAAAAACATATTTTAAAACTACAATTTATCAAGTACTACTTCAAAGCAGCTGATTTTTAAGAACTTCCTAGACATTGTCGGCATTGCCGAAATTGAATCAAATTCCCGAATATATTTCGCTTTCGTAATTCGAAACGGTGACAGGATGGTAACTAACACAAATTGTAACAAGAATCTCTTCCCCGATCTGTTTCGTACGAAATCTCATGTCAATCTTGATGCTGGAGGCACAGCGACAGCGGTTTAATTACTTAATTAATGGAACATGGAGTAACTTTGACTGAACGAAACGATTAATCACCGCGGATCGCGCTAGAGAGTTTTGTATCTCGCTGACTTCCGGCCGTTATAACTTGGTCACGTGCCTCGGGCATGAGAAAGCCATTTGGAATTCCTCGAGCCGACCAATTGCTCTTCTTCGACAAACTCCGATAAGAACGAGCTTGAGGTAGTCTAGTATCGCGGAAACGGAGGGAGTTTAATTACCGAATGCAAATGCAAATATACTTTAGGGACTATCGTGCTGTCTCCGTGCGCTGAACGACCTCTTTCCTTCCTACCTCCTGCCTCACCTCATCTCGCCTATTCCCGTTGTCGCTATCTGACGTAGTTTCACCATACCGTTTCCCGATTAAAGCAGGTATGAGGAAAGCAGTAAGACGATGAGTATTCGGAGAATCATTTGGGTTTCATGGCAAATTTTTTGTTACTTATCTCAGTCTTTCTTACGTTGATACCCCTAGGGTATAATACCTCGCATACCTGAATTTATAATAAAATATAATTTGCATAAAATATCATATCGATAATCATGGAATGTAATAAAAAATATTTAAATAGCTTCATATAGTGATTCTCTAATGGCATACATTGCATATTTTTCTTCATGAACGATATACGTGATGAAATATAAGATTTTGAAATGATAGTTTTTATTACATTTGGTAAACATATCTCTGTACTATATCAGGCTATTACTTATTTTTTATACAACATCCATTTACATTAATAAGAGGATTTTTAATATAATTAATGTTAATTTCGATAAATTTAAATTTATTAATAAATAATTATAATATATAATAATAATTAATTTTAAATAAATAATTATTCTGTCATTTTTAATAATCCAAGTAACGATTAGCAAAAATTAAATTTTTCCATATTATTGAGTTACAATAATTACAATCTACGATAGCGAATTATATATTCGCATCTAAATATTTTTATGAATTCGTAAAAAAAATGGAGTTTTGAAACATATATTTACAAATTTGACTATATAAATACAGATCCGAAAACAATTTTATTGAAGTATAAATTAGATTTTGAGCTTTGTTATAAAAAGATTATTTAAATAGTGCAATAGCGTTTTAACATATGCATAAAGACACGTGGAATTGACATCATGTAGTTGAAATATACAAGAATAATATGCGGTTTATTGCGACATATAATGGGTTCGACCTTTCGATAAACTTCAGCTCACTGTCTTATTCTCTCATGTTCTTATTCTTTTACTTTTTTGTTTAGTCAATAAATAAATTACCTTTTATATTACTTAATAAATATATTACCTATTAATTATATATTAATTATATTACATATTAATTATAGTTTATCTAAAGATGGAACAATTGGCCCATAGAGAGACAAATTATCAAGTCGATAAATACATACATAACAATACGACGTTCTTAGAAAAATTGTGCATTGCTTTCAATATTCTTAACGTATACGCTAAGGATATCACGCGGCAATGACGCCTTTAAATCAATCTGACATGCGATGTCGTTCGTCGCGCAGAACATCACTGGTGCAATTTCAAAGTTAAGACACGTCAGATGTTTCCTCGATTGCGTCAGTAAAATGGATCGCCATCGGTCAGGTCGACCGTTCGCATTGAAGTAGAACCGATTGCGCGAATAATCGAGAGAAAGTTTGGCGAATTACGTTCCATTAGATTTTCCTATTCGCGGTATAAATGTTAAATCAGACTTCTAAAATCCTAACGCCTTTAGAATCAGCCGTATTAACCAGTGGCATTTGAACACGAGTAATACTTTCTACTGACATTTGAAATAACTCCTACAATTATTTCTGGAATTTTAAAAGCAGGAAACATACACATTCGGTGATATATATATATATGTTTGAAACGCTTGACATTTCAATGTTATTCACATTAAATATGAAATTAAGCCCGCAGCCACGACGTTGTTCAAGGATAGAAAATAAGTATTTATAAAAATGACTTTTTCCCGAACAAGGCTTATGTTTTTATCTCCCGAGGTTGAAATTCAATGTGAATAATTTTTTACCTTCAAGAAATAATTTTTTAATTCCATTCGCGTTTGTCCTTCTTAAGATTTCCTATATTTAACAGCCGAGAAAATAACCGAGTAACATAATGACTAGAATAAAATTGTGCAATTTGCATTACTCGTTTAGTATTCGCTCAGATAAGGTATTGAATAAACATGACATAGACATAGAATAAACGTGTATAGATTGCGTTCTCGCTTTCAATTAGCAAATGTTTGCACGTGGAAGTGGAAACACACATGTTATTGCGTTTATCCTGAAATTAAACCTAGTACAGTCAATAACAACGAATTAATAGCGAGCATATCAGTTTTCCCAGGCATTCCTACCATTTGACACCCGCACCATTACACCCGTTTGCTAAAAAGTGGAAAAAATCACGAGCTGTCAAATAGACCAATTTTCGAAATAGACACGATGTGTGACATGCACGTTCCGCACGTATAGCACTAAAAGGCGGTTAACTGATAGAACAGAAGAACAATATGAAAAAACTGCGGAAAAAGCCTTGCGCGCGCGAGAAATAGCGCGGGAAAGTAATTAGTGGTTAGCAGGCCACGTTGTCGTTCTTCGTCCAGAACGGGAGGGGATTCGATTAAAATCGTAGTGACGTGCCTGCGTATCAGAGTCAGGCTCAGTTTCCTTTCCGGCGTCTTTCAGAATGACAACGGCGTCGTTGTCGCCGACGCGCGTCGAGATCTCGGCATCTCATTCTCGACTATCGTGGCAGTGACAGGTGCTCTATCAAGGTGAACTCTCGATATAATTATTTCTGCGAGTACACTTTCGCTGCGTGCTTCGTGTATTTGGAGGCAATTAGATGAAATCTGATGCCTGTCATGAAACATATCATTTAAAATCATAATTAAAAGAAAAAGTTTCTCCGGAAGTTTCTATCATTAGTGTCATTATGAAATAGTTACTGACGTAAAACAAGTCAGGAATAACTCCAATTTAGAAAAAGAAAAATTTTTCTGACACGGAAATTCATTTTAATTTCAGAATTCCATCTTTGAAATACATATACATACATGCGTTAATTTAAATGCGGCTATTAGAGAAATTAAATTATCATAAATATTAATCGCCAGACAACAAGGCACTTAAGAAAATCTGCTTCGCAAAATTAGATTAGTGTAAGAGAATTAATATTAGCGCTTCAGACACGGAAATAAACAGGTAATAATAATCAATATTTATGCCATTGTAATCCCTTATCTAAATCACATTTGAAAAATATGATTCATATCATTACCCGTTCAATATCCGTTCAATATCCATCAAATGGCATGATAAAGTAATTCCCGATTGCATTTAACTACCTTCCATGATTAAGTAACAGCTCGCCCGCTGATCAAGGCGAATTAAATCCTCCGCGTGATAATGGCATGTCATTGTTAAATCAGGTGTAACGACGTGATTGAGATAAAATATGCGTGTTCGCAT